GGCTGTTTTCAGAAAAACATGATTGTTGTTTTAAACAGACAAGCCAATTTCTCCCCCACCTAAATATAATCGTCCTGAAGTACCTTACTTATTATCTCAGAGTATTAGACTGGAATGCAATTCACACACCACTGCTGACTCACTCTCCTGTCTGCAACAGATCTGGTGTTAAAGGACACCAGCCCCAGCAAGCAAAGGACACCCTTCCACAGCACCCGTGTGAGGCTGCAGGCTTCACCTGCTCCAAACAAAAGCAAGCAACAACTATGACAAATGCATTCATATTGCTGGTGAAGATTATTTATGTCTTTTTCATGTAGGCTCCTGACAAGCATGCTGAAGAAGCACGTTGCTTTGAAACTCTTTTGTTGGTTCAAGCAACTGAAGAACGCCTTTTGCTTTAAGGAGCAACGCAAGATGGAAGAACAGAGTGGAAGTGCTGTTGCTGTTTGTACAGATGATCTAAATCTCTGAGCAGAAATAGCAGCTTCATCACTTAATTGAAAAAGCTGCCATGAAAACCAAGCTCTTTCACCCTTTCCTCTCCTGCAAAAAGATGTCCCAAGATCTGCAGCAAGTGAAGGGGATGGTTGTTACAGCATTGGTACTAGCTTGCTTTTTCCCTGATGCTGGGGAACGAAACAGTCCTCCTCAGGGACAGCCTGTGATCACTGCATGGAAGGGTACGGAGCCAAGCCAGTTAAGGGAGCAACTGCCCACTGAGCATCATCTTCAGCAACTTCTTTTATCACCAGCCGTGCTCAACAGTTCAGAGACACCGCTTTTCACACCTCAGTTAATTTAACATTGATTTCCAAAGCTGAAATTAAGATATTTGCTACCAAGACAAGATTTCTTACAAAGGAGCTTGGAAGCTGGGCTTACATTCAAAGCAAGAATTCTGAGTCATCATGAAATTGGTAATGATACTGATAATTTTAGAAATCTGGAAGAACTGATGACTTAAAACATGCAACAAGTTCATTATCAATTCCAAGCTTTTTTTTTTTTTTTTTTTAGACAGGAAAATGAAAATGGAAAAAGCCTCAGCCATTTATTGAGGCAGTTCTACAACGCAGGTAAAACAAAGTTAACCAAACTGTCATAACTACCAAAATTTGAAATGGGCTTTCTAAAAAACATAAAATAAACCCTGCCACGTTTTGCCGAGGTAGCTCTTCCCTAAGAAACCCATTCTCAGAAATGGTTTCAACAATTTTTAAAGCACTCATTCCTTTCTCAATCCTGTAAACATGGATGCTGGGATTTTAGTTAGCAATTACAATAAAAAAAAAATACAAGACACTCATGATACACAGCAGCAAAACACTAAAATGCCATCCTCTACTCAAATTCATACTTCTTACTAACTACCAAACTTCAGCTTTCAAATGAACAAAGACAACACTACTCTATACCCAAGGAACCTTAAAATGAAAGCAACCAATCATTTGCTAAGTTACCAAATGCCACAATGAAAAAGCGATGCTTTGTCTGTACTGAAGACATACCAAAGCAAATAATCCATACGCCACTTCAGAAACACCTCTGCTCTAATGCTGTTCATAGATTTAACAAAACACTGTTCTTAAAGCCTGAAATCATTCCCACATGCTAAAGACGACAGTCCTTCCAGTTGCTATGAGAAAAATCCTGTACCATTATGCAAATCAGCAGTTATAATCATTTTCAAAAATAGCTGTCTATATATTTACATTATGCCAAGATCAAATTAAAGAATATGCAGTATACACTTTAAATTTTACATACATATAGATATAAACACAAATTACTCATGTTGGTCCTATAACTGATTCTGCTCACAAATTCAGCTTT